CTACATTGAGATACCATCTCACGCCAGTTAGAATGGCGATCATTAAAAAATCTGGAGACAACAGATGCTGGAGAGGATGTGGAGAAATAGGAACACTTTTACACTGTTGGTGGGAGTGTAAATTAGTTCAACCATTGTGGAAGACAGTGTGGGGATTCCTCAAAGACCTAGAAATAGAAATTTCATTTGACCCAGCAATCCCATTACTGGGTATATATCCAGAGGATTATAAATCATTCTACTATAAGGATATATGCACACGAATATTCACTGCAGCACTGTTTACAATAGCAAAGACCTGGAACCAACCCAAATGCCCATCGATGATAGACTGGACAGGGAAAATGTGGCACATATACACCATGGAATATTATGCAGCCATCAAAAACGATGAGTTCGGGTCCTTTGTAGGGACATGGATGAACTGGAGACCATCATTCTCAGCAAACTGACACAAGAACAGAAAATGAAATACTGCATGTTCTCACTCATAGGTGGGTGTTGAACAATGAGAACACATGGACAAAGGGAGGGGAGCACTACACACTGGGGTCTGTTGTGGGGATTACGGGAGGGACAGTAGGGGATGGGGAGTTGGGGAGAGATAGCATGGGGAGAAATACCAGATATAGGTGAAGGGGAGGAAGGCAGCAAATCACACTTCCACGTGTGTACCTATGCAACTATCTTGCATGTTCTTCACATGTACCCCAAAACCTAAAATGCAATTTAAAAAAAAGAAAATAAAGAAAGAAGAATAAACTGGAGAGAAAAAAAAACAGAAATCAGAGCACCAACTAGGAAGCTAAGACAATAATCTAGGCCAGTGGTTCTCAAACCCTCTCATACTTCTAAGTCACCTGTTGAATTAGATGCTTAGGCCTCAAACTCCATAAGTCTAAATAAGAGAAAGGCATACAAAAAGAAGAGATTTTAAAGGGATGTAATCACCTTGCTTTGGGGCATATTCTTTTATTGTTTTTAAGTGAAAGTAAGTTTATTAGGAAAGTAAAGGAATAAAGGATGGCTACTTTATAGGTAGAGCAGCTCTGAGGGCTGCTGGTTGCCCATTCTTATGGTTATTTCTTGATTACATGTTAAGTGAGGGGTGGATTATTCATGAGTTTTCTGGGAAAGGGGTGGACAATTCCCAGAAATGAGGGTTCATCCCCATTTTAGACCCTACAGGGTAACTTCCTGACGTTGCCATGGCATTTGTAAACTGTCATGGCACTGGTGGGAGTGTAGCAGTGAGAACAATCAGAGGTCACTCTCATTGGTGAGATTTAGCAGGCTTATCAGCAAGTTCATTATGACCTGTATCTTGTGCTGACCTCCTATCTTATCCTGTGACTTAGAGTGCCTAAGCATCTCTTAATGCAGCCCAGTAGGTCTCAGCCCTATTATACCCAGCCCCTATTCATGATGGAGTTAAACCAACTCTGACATTTCCCCATCCTTTTATAAGGGAACCATTAATCCTATGGGTTGTAGAAGGCGATTCATCTTCTGTAATTTCTTTAGGCTGAATAGGGCGATGATATTCCTGCTTAACTATTGGTTCCCTTGCACTTGGGGTAAAGAGGAGCTCAATCAGAAAGCATTGGTAAGTCAAGGGCCATTCATAACTCTGAGTTCCAACAAAAGGTGATATCTGGAAAATTAATAAATGTTCAATTTCAGAGAACATTGAGTAAGCTTATCCTGCAATCCTACACAGAGTGCAACAGCCATATATTTACAACAGTAAAGCAAAATAAGCAAAATTATCCCAAGTAAACTAAATAAGGCGGCTTTCCATGAACTGGGCAACTGTTGCAACCAAGCTGATATGGGGTTGCTGGCTGACTCCAGTATGTGGGGCACATTCTTTTTACAAAACACGTGGAATACGGAAGTTAATTTAGTCAGCAGGTGATTAGAGAAGGGAGTTCTAGAGTATATGAGAAGGTCTAATTGGAGAGTCATTGGTATCTTATTCAAAGTAAATTAAGGTTGAAAATACCAAAATAAAGTAAGAAATTAATTTGTTTTACAGACTCTAAAGCCTCAAAATGTAACAAGTTCATTTTCTGAGGTATTTGTGTGGTAAATATTATCCTTTTGAAAAAGTAAATTCTCAGAGCCCAACTTTATGAAAAATCATAACCACCCCCACAGTCAAACACACAAAATTAAAAATATAAAAAGGCAAATAAAAAAGAACAAAAAATGCTAATGTCTTTGGGTAGATGAGAGATGCTAGAAGAAAGAACTTGTTTTCAAGCAGAAAAATGAACTGCTGAAGCAGTCTATGATTCAGTGAAGGAGAAAGCAGTTGCTATAAAATAGCAACCTGCTTAAACAAAAGGAACCATTGTTCCTTGCAAAAACATCAAGTCTACTCAAACACATTTTGTTTTTGGTAAAAATGTTATTTTAAAATACATCATTTTAATAGCAGATGAAGCTCAGTGAGGAAACAGAATTCATGACACAGAAACTTCCTTTGAAGTCAAACTTGTTAAAAATGCATGTATTAAATAAAAAGATGTGGGTTATCTATCCTTTTGGTTTTTTTGTTTTGTTTGTTTGTTTTTTGAGACAGAGTCTTGCCCTGTCACCCAGGCTGGAGTGGAGTGGCATGATCTCCACTCACTGCAATCTCTGCCTCCGAGGTTCAAGCAATTCTCCTGCCTCAGCCTCCCAAGTAGGTGGGATTATAGGCACCTGCCACCACACCCAGCTAATTTTTGCATTTTTAGTAGAGACAGGGTTTCACCATGCTGGCCAGGCTGGTCTCAAACTGCTAACCTCAGGTCTTCTGCCCACCTTGGCCTCCCAAAGTGCTGGGATTACAGGCGTGAGCCACCACACCCCGCCTTCTGTCCTTTTTGAACAGTTGCCATTGGAAGAGGTGCTCAGGTCAAGCATTTAAACCCTGAAATAAAAGTCAGAACAGGCCAGGTGCAGTGGCTCACACCTGTAATCCCAGCACTTTGGGAGGCCGAGGTGGGTGGATCACCTGAGGCTGGGAGTTCGAGACCAGCCTGGCCCACATGGACAAACCCCATACAAAATTAGCCAGGTGCTGGTGGCTCATGCCTGTAATCTCAGCTCCTCAGGAATCTGAGGCAAGAGAATCACTTGAACCCAGGAGGTGGAGGTTGCAGTGAGCCAAGGTCAGACCACTACACTCCAGCATGGGCAATAGAGCAAGACTCCATGTCAAAAAAAAAAAAAAAAGTCAGAACAAACTAAAAAGACTTAAGAACATGAAACCAAATGTCAACTTTGTTCTGAACCAAGAACATGAATTAAAAAGTAAACCTTGTAAACTCACTTATGTATTTATATAGCAATCATAAGCTTTTTCTAAAGACTTGGATTTTCTGATAATAAAAATATCTGTGTTCACATATATTGCTGTCTGGTCACTGCTCTACTTCTACTCACAAAAGCATTCATTATACAAGGGAAAAAATAGAATACAGGGAGGAGGCTGGGCTGTGGGACAGAGATAAATCTGATTGACAGTAATTGGAGCGTGTCTGATAGGCAGATGCTTCATGGGACTGGTCAGAGCTGATTGGCTGAGGGAGCTATGTCCTACTCGTGGGTGTTGTTATCAGAGGAGGAGTAAGGATGGAAGTTTCTGGAAAAGGTCACATGATAAAGAGGACCAGTAAGAGGTAGCTTCATGGATGGCGTCTGAGGCAGCTAGCTGTGGAGAACAATTTGACAGCTGGCAAGCAGACAGGTAGGATATGCTCCTTCTGCTACTGCTCTCTACCGCTTAAACTCGATCTCTTTCTTCTTTTACCTCTTGGGTCTGGGTATTGAAGGCCTAAGGCTGCTACATCTAATTTTAGAGACATTTTAGGAAACTAGGGACTCTAGATTCCCCCACATGGTGAACTGTGGTTGGCCATTTCCAACTGCTGATGATGCCAGAAACAAAGGCAATGGGGAACCTGGAGGCAAGGCATGCCTTCCTTTAGCTAGAAGCTCTCTCCTAAAATATTTGTCTCTACATATTACCTCCACCCTTTCCCTTTCCACTTTTACCTAATGACTTTTGAGTGATAAAAACTGTGTGGGCAATTTTACAAAAGTTTCAGAAAGACCAGACACTTCAATTTCTCAAAAGAGTGGAGTGGCAAGTCCCAATGTAGATCATAATATTAAAAAAAAAATTTGGCCAACAGCTAGGAAATGTTAATCATTTAGCCAGAAGCTCATGTAATAGCCATCTCTACACTCCTTAACCTTCTCCTGATAGAAATTGGTACCGGACAGCCAATTCTGTTACAATAATTTTTTGGTAGGGTTTAAGGAAAATAGGGATCAAAATTCCCAAAAGTGCAGACTTTGGGTGGTAAACATCAAGCAAAAATTACCGAAAGGGAAAAAAGCAAAAAGTGGACTAGGAGCCACTAACTTTCAGTATCTCCCACCTTTCCACTCTCTCCTCTCCTTTTTTCCCCTTTTATTTACTACACGTATGATAGCCAGATGTGTTATTTAATGTCTTAACAGAGGGTTTATGGGGATTTTTCCTCAACTTTCCAAACTGAAGGACTGCGAATTGAAAGCTCACAAAAGGAAATCTAGCAACAGGCTATGAACATGGATGATCATTTAAAATAAAAGGATAGGCAGAGGAGAGCCAAGAGCCAGACAACTTCTGCACCATAGGCAAAACCTCTCTCCCAAGTGCAGCAGTGGGGGTAGAGAAGGAGCTAGAACTTCTCTCTTAATACAGCTATGCCTACCATTCATCCCTTTTTCCCCAGTTTCTCAGATCCTCACTTCCTTGTCAAAGATTTGGTGGTCAGTTCTGCTGAATTTGTGTCTTTGTTGAGATGATAGGGAGAGTCTGGCCTCAATTTTCAAAATGTTGTGTACTGTGCTTGTCCATGATTCTAATAGTGTCTAGGAATAGGTGAAAGAAAACAGAACAGCAACTGTTTCTGAACTTCCTTCTTTCTACTGTTATTCTTTACCTTTTTTTTTTTTTAATGGTGAAAAGATTATACACATATTTAGAATTAGCCAGCTGGACTCAGTTTAGATGATCCCAATTTTGTTGGCAACATCCAAAGCATCATAATCAGGAGCCAGTCGAACACATGCCTTCTTCTCTCCATCAGGCCAAATCAGGGTGTTGACCTTGGCCACATCAATGTCATAGAGCTTCTTCACAGCCTGTTTAATCTGGTGCTTGTTGGCTTTAACTTCCACAATGAACACAAGTGTGTTGTTGTCTTCTATCTTCTTCATGGCAGACTCAGTGGTCAGTGGAAACTTGATGACAGCATAGTGGTCGAGTTTGTTTCTCCTGGGGGCCCTCTTCTGAGGATATTTGGGCTGCCTCCGGAGTCGCAGTGTCTTGGGCCGCCGGAAGGTGGGTGACGTGCCGATCTTCTTTTTTATGTGGCTGTGGACACCTATCAACACTGCCTTCTTGGCCTTTAAAGCCTTTGCTTTGGCTTTGGCTTTAGGAGGGGCAGGAGCTTCCTTCTTCACTTTCGGCGCCATCTTGTGAAAAGTATTCTTTACCTTTTTATTTCATCTGTTTACCTATTTGATCTGTTTTGTGGACATTTCTGTTATATTCATTGTTTTACAGAGGTTTTAGAGCTACTTGGCATATATATCCAAACTTGAGGTCAGTGTGTTATCAACTCAAAAACAGAAGTCTAGCAAGAGTTATGGATAGGAGAAATGCCTTAAAAATAGAGATTCTAGGTGAATAAGAACCAGGAGCCAGCCAACTTCTGCTCTTAGACAGGATCCCTACATTCTACCAGTGACCTTAATCCCTTTGTTTTTCTTTTATCCTCTAGGTGTTCGGTGGACATTTCCACTGCATTAATGTCTTTATAGAGTGTTGAGTGGGACATGGGTTCAGTATTCTCACCTATAATTCACAAGTGATTAGCTGAGGAAGTAAAACCTAAAAAGAATTTATGAACAAATGAAATGTCTTAAACATATTGTGATAGGAAACAAAACAAGATTAAGAGCCAGCAAACTGCTGCCCTTCATACAAAAGTGGTCTACTAATAAGCCCCTTTTTACCACACACCCATCCTACTTTTCCTTCTCTCTCTTACTTCTAGGATATCGGGTGGTCACTGCTGCTACATCAGTTACCTTGCTGAAATTGGGAGACTCTAATATCAGTTTTCTATATACTACTGATTGTATTTACTCATGTCAGCTACAACATTTAGCAATATGTGATGGAAAAGACAACATGCTTTGAATCACATTAGAACGTACACAGGGAAATCAAGAGTTAGCCAACTTCTGCCCAATAGTCAGCACCACTCCCTGGCCTTCCTTCACTCTGTCAATGACCTTCACACATTTGTTTTTCCCGTTTCCCTTTGAGGTTTTCAGTGGTCACTTGTGTTATATTATTTTAGAGATTTCAGTGGGGCTTAGGAAAATATTCCCACCTGAATCTCTGCAGGTAATCAGATGTAAGACCTAGGAATAATTTATTTTTAATTTTTGTGGATACATAACATACATACATATATATATATATATAATTACATAATAATCATATCATGAAAATTTGGGTATCCATCCCCTCAAGCATTTATCTTTTGTGTTACAAGCCAAGTACCCTCTTTTAGTTATTTTAAAATGTACAAGTAAGTTCTTATTGACTATAGTCACCTTGTTGTGTAATCAAATACTAGGTCTTATTCATTGTTTCTAACTTTTTTTGTATTAACCATCCTTACCTTCCTCCCACCATCCCCCCTACCCTTCCCAACCTCTGATTACCATCCTTCTCTATCTCTATGAGTTTACTGCTTCGACTTTTAGAGCCCACGAATAAGTTAAAGCATGTGATATTTGTCTTTCTGTGCCTGGCTTATTTCTCTTAGCATAATGACCTCCAGTTCCATCCACATTGTTGCAAATGACAGGATCTCATTCTTTTTTATGACTGAATAGTACTCCACTGTGTAGATGTATCACATTTTCTTTACCCATTCATCAGTTTGTGGATGCTTAGGTTGCTTCCAAATCTTGGTTATTGTGAACACTGCTGCAACAAACATAGGATATCTCTTTGATATCCTGATTTCCTTACTTTTGGATATATACCCAGCAGTGGGATTCCTGGATCTTATGGAAACTCTTTTTTCAGTTTTTTAAGGAGCCTCCAAACTGTTCTTTATAGCGGTTTATTAATTTACATTATCACCAATAGTGTATGAGGATTCTCTTTTCTCTACATCCTCACAAGAATTTTTTATTGCCTGTCTTTGTATAAAAGCCATTTTAACTGGGGTGAGATGATATTTCATTATAGTTTTGATTCTGCATTTCTCTGATGATCAATAATGTTGAACACCTTTTCATATACCTGTTTGCCATTTGTATGTCTTCTTTTGAGAAATATCTATTGCCCATTTTAAAAATTGGATTATTGGATTTTTTTTCCTAAAGAGTTGTCTGAACTTTTTATATATTCCTGTTATTAATCCCTTATAAGATGAAGAGTTTGCAAATTTCTTTTTCCCATTCTGTGGATTGTTTCTTCACTTTGTTGATTGTTTCCTTTGCTGTGCAGAAGTTTTTTAACTTGATATGATCCCATTTGTCCATTTTTGCTTTAGTCGTCTGTGCTTGTGGAGTGTTACTCAAGAAATTTTTGCCCAGACCAACATCCTGGAGATTTTCCCCAATGTTTCATTGTAGTGGTTTCATAATTTGATGTCTCAGATTTAAGTCTTTAATCCATTTTATTTGATTTTTGTATAAGGTGAGAGATAGGGATCACGTTTCATTATTCTGTATATGGATATCCAGTTTTCCCAGCACAATTTGCTGAAGAGACTGTCTTTTCCCCAATATTTGTGGCTATTCGAATTTTTTTATTTCTTTTTCAGATTGTTCACTGTTGCCGTATAGAGATGCCATTGATTTTCATATGTTAATTTTTTATACTGTAACTTTGTTGAATTTGTTTATCAGTTTCAAAGTTTTTTGGTGAAGTCACTAGGTTTTTCCACATATAAGATCATATTATATAGAAACAAGGATAATTTGGATAATGTGACTTCTTCCTTTCCACTTTGGATGCCCTTTATTTCTTTCTTTTGTCTGATTAATCTAGCTAGGACTTTCAGTACTATGTTGAATAACAGTGAAAGTGGTCATCCTTGTCGTGTTCCAGATCTTAGAGGAAATGCTTTCAATATTTATTCCCATTCTGTACAATACTACAGAATGGGAAAAATACCACAAACAGAGAAGCTTAGCAAGCATTCTAGACAAGTAAAATTCCTTAAAATAACAAAGTGTGAACCATCAGCCAGCCAATTTTTGTCTTTGTGCCAGACTATTTATCCTAACTTCCATCATCCTGTATAACCCCTCCATCATCACCATTCTATTGCCTTCCTTATCCACTCTGGTTGTTGTCTGGGCTCTTGTCTGTGTTATTGTCTTTATATTGGTTTCAAGGATTCACAGCTCAACTTTACCACTTTGACTACTGTGGGTGTCTTGCATAATGAAAAGGATTTAACAAGGTAGTATAAAAATGTGTATTCTCTTAATATTTTTGGATTTTAAAAAAGAAGTTCCAGAAATCAGACACCTCCTGTCCTCTATCAAGAGGACAATCCTCAATCCTAAAATAACTGTCATCCTCATCCCTATTTTACTTCACTTTTACATATATTCTCATGCTTGGTAAATGGTTCATGGTCATCTCTCCCCTATCAGTGTCTTTGCTAAGCCTGTGGGAAAAATTAGGCCTCTGTGTTCAATCTTGTAGCCTATAGTTTCTCACAATAGAAAGTCGCAATTTGTGAAGAAAAACAGCACGTGTTACAAAATTGAATTCAGATAGAAGGTAGTCCAGATGCCAGCTGACTTTTGCCATTTATTTAACACCTCTCTTGTAGCTTCCATCTTTCTACAGCTGACCTGCTTTCCTTTATTTTCCCTTTATCATCCAAATGTTTAATATTCATTTTCGTAGTGCTGGTATATTTGCAAAGGTTTTAGAGAGACTCAGTATTATCAATTTGAATCACTTTTTTTTTTAGACAGAGTCTCACTCCGTTGCCCAGGCTGGAGTGCAGTGGCATGATCTCTCACTGCAACCTCTGCCTCACAGGTTCAAGCTATTCTCATGCCTCAGACTCTACAGTAGCTGGGACTATAGGTGTGCACCACCACATCCAGCAATTTCTGTATTTTTAGTAGAGATGGGGGTTTCACCACCAAGGCTGGTCTTGAACTCATGACCTCAAGTGATCTGCCCACCTCTGCCTCCCACAGTAGCTAGGATTACAGGCTTGAGCCACTGTCTGGCCAACTTAAGGTCCTTTTGTGGCCAACTACTAAAGAGAACTCTAGCAAGAGTTGTGGACAAGTGAAATGCCTTAAAATAACGAGATATTACATGAATATGGACCAAGAGTCAGCCAACCCCTGCCCTCAGCCAGAATGTGCATCCCAACTTTTAATTTCTATAACTACCTATCAACTTTCTTTTCCCCTTCACTATCCACGTTAGTTTTTTTATTAGTATAAATGTATGGTGTATAAGTGTGATTTTGCTACATAATTTTAAAACTCTACTATCAGGAGTGGGATTATTGAAGGTTATTTTTATTGCATTAATCCCATCTCAAGGTCTCTGTGTAGCCACTTCTTGCAAGAAATGAATTCTGGCAAGAGTTATGAACAAATTAAATGTCTTAAAATAATCATACAAGTGGATAAAGTAAACCAGGAGCCAGCCAACTTCTCCCCTGAGTCAGAACATTTCTCCTAACTTCTGTCATCCTACCACAATCCTCCCTGCCATTACCATTTTATTTCCCTTTTTATATACTCTGTGTTTTATAGTGTCCTATTCTGTTTTAGTGCCTTTACATTGATTTCAGGGATACATGGCCTCAATATAAACACCATGAGGGTTTTTGTGTGTTCAATGACTAAAATCTAACATGCTATGGAAAAGTATGGTGCCTTAAAATTCGATAGCAAAGAGGACCAGGAGCCCAACACCTCCTGCTCTTTAGCCCAAAACCATCTCTTGCTCTCTTCTTTCTAGCACTTTCTCCCCTTCCTTATTTCCTGTCTACTTGGTGCATGTTTGCTGGTCAGTTTTGTTGCATTAGTTATTTTACTAAATCTGTGGCTAGACTCAGGCTTCCATTCACAATTTTGCCAACTATGGTTGTACATGACAACAGCCTCTAGCAATGTGTTTTAGAAGAAAAAAAATCCATGTTTTTTTAAAAAGGAAATAGATGTAAGAGTTGAGGGAAGCCAGCAAAAATCTTCCTTCTTGGCCATCTCTTCTCTCCTAACTTCCATCTATCTATCTGTCTATCTATCTATTTATGCATATATATTGCACATATGTGTATATATATATATATATATATATATATATATATATATATCTGGTGGTTATCTTTCTTACATTGGTGTCTTTGGGGAGGTTTTCAGAAACTCAGCTTCAGTTTTATCACCTTGAAAATTGTGACTCAACAGCCTAAGAAGAAAATCTAACAAGAGGTTATTATAAGGTAAAATGCCTTGAAACCGTGAAATACATACTAGGAGAAAAAAGACAAGAAGCCAGCCAGCTCCTCTACTTTAGCCCACACATCTCTCCTTACCTCTATCTTCCTACCACTGACCCTTGCCCTTTTATTTACTCCATTTTTCCTTCTGGATATTTTATCATCACCTGTGTTGTGTGTCTTTGCATAGGTTTTGGGGGATAATTGGCCTGCTTTAGCGTTATAAGTGTCATAACCATAAAAATCCATCAAAGATTATTATGGAAAGGAGTAATGT